TGGTGCTGGGGAAGGATTTTCCAGCCGCTCCCCCAAAGGGATTTTTCATCACCAAAATTTTCCACCCCAACGTCGGCCCCAGCGGAGAAATTTGTGTGAACGTCCTGAAAAGGGACTGGAGAGCGGAGCTGGGGCTGCGCCACGTGCTGCTGGTGAGAGTTTGGGGTGAAAAAATAGGATTTTGGGAAAAAAAATGGGGATTTTAGGGGGAAAAATGGGAGTTTTAGGGTGAAAAATGGGGATTTGGGGAAAAGAAATGGGGATTTGGGGTGGAAAAATGGGAATTTTGGGGTGAAAAATGGGGATTTTGGGAAAAAATGAGATTTTGGGAAAAAAATTTGGGTTTTGGGAAAAAAACATGGGGATTTTAGGGGAAAAAATGGGGATTTTGGGACTGGAGAGCGGAGCTGGGGCTGCGCCACGTGCTGCTGGTGAGAATTTGGGGTGAAAAATGGAGATTTGGGGGAAAAAAAGGGAGTTTTATGAGTGGAAATGGGACTGGGACAAACTGGGAGGGGATTTGGGGTGAATTTGGGGACAAAGAGTTGAAATTTGGGGTCATTTTGGGACAGAAAAGTGCAAAACTACTGGGATTTTTTGGGAATTTGAGCGCGATTTTTTGGTATTTTGAGCGGGATTTTTTGGCACCTGACCCCATATATTTTTGGGGTGATTTTTGGGGTCTCCCTGATCCCCCTCCCCAATTCCCAATTTTCCCCTCCCCCAGAAAAGGAGCTCAAATTTGGGGTTATTTTAGAGCAGAAAAATGGGATTTTTTCATGGGATTTTTTGGGAATTTGAGCACGATTTTGTGGGATTTGAGCGCAATTTTTTGGGATTTTTTTGGGATTTTTTGGGGAATTTTTTTGGGGCCTGACCCCAAATCTTTTTGGGGTCTATTTTGGGATCTCCCCCTCCCCAATTCCCCATTTTCCCCCTCCCCCAGAAAAGGGAGCTCAAATTTGGGGTCATTTCAGGGCAGAAAAATGGGATTTTTTGGGAATCGAATGGGATTTTATTGAAATAAAATGGGATTTTTTTGGGAATTTTTTTGGGAAATCACCCCAAATCTTTTTGGGGTTTATTTGGGGGTCTCTCCCCCAATCCCCCTCCCCATTTTTTTCTCTCTCCCCAGAGGAGGAGCTCAAATTTGGGGTCATTTTGGGGTGAAATGAGTGGGATTTTTTGGAATTTGAGCGGGCTGTTTTGGGATTTGAGTGGGATTTTTTGGGAATTTGAGCGCGATTTTTTGGGATTTTGAGCGGGATTTTTTGGGATTTGAGCGGAATTTTTTGGGATTTGAGCGGGATTTTTTGGGAATTTGAGCGGGATTTTTTGGGAATTTGAGCGGGATTTTTTGGGATTTGAGTGGGATTTTTTGGGAATTTGAGCGCGATTTTTTGGGATTTGAGGGGGATTTTTTGGGATTTTTCATGGGATTTTTTGGGATTTGAGTGCGATTTTGTGGGATTTGAGCGAGATTTTTGGGGATTTTGAGTGGGATTTTTTGGCAATTTGAGCAGGATTTTTTGGGATTTTTCATGAGATTTTTTGGGGAATTTTTTTGGGAATTTTTTTGGGAAATCACTCCATATATTTTTGGGGTGATTTTTGGGGTGTCCCCTCCCCCAGACCATCAAATGCCTGCTGATCCAGCCCAACCCGGAGTCGGCTCTGAACGAGGAGGCGGCGCGGCTGCTGCTGGAGGATTTCGAGCGATTCGCGGTTCGTGCCAAACTCCTGACCGAGATCCACGCCCGGGGGACCCCTCCCCAAATTCCCCAAATCCCCCAAATCCACCCCTCCCCCGCCGCCGGACCCCTCCCCAAATCGGAGCCGCCCCCGGGACCCTCCGGGACCCCTCCCCCGCCCCCCCCCGAGGGTCCCGTCCCCAAAAAACACGCGGGGGACAGGAAGGGACCCCCCAAGAAAAAGGGGACGGAGAAGAAACGGGCGCTGCGGCGCCTCTGAGACCCCAGACCCAATTCAGGGGGGGCTCTGAGACCCCAGACCCAAATTGGGGGTGATTGGAGACCCCTGACCCAAATTGGGAGGGGTTAAAACTCCCCCACACTCAATTTGGGGGGGTCTCAAAGCCCCCAGACCCAGTTTGGGGGGGCTCTGAGACCCCAGACCCAATTTGGGGGACAGGAAACGGGCGCTGCGGCGCCTCTGAGACCCCAGACCCAAATCGGGGGCTCCTAAATCACCCTCAGACTCAATTTGGGGGGGTCTCAAAGCCCACAGACCCAAATTAGGAGGGTTTAGGGACCCCAGACCCAATTCAGGGGCTCCTAAATCACCCCCAGACTCAATTCAGGGGGATTTGGAGACCCCAGACCTAATTTAGGGGGGTTTGGAGACCCCAGACTCAATTTGGGGGGTGTTTCAAACTCTCAGAATGAATTTGGGGGTGATTGGAGCCCCCAGACCCAAATCAGGGGGTCCTGAATCACCCCCAGGCTCAATTTGGGGGGGTTGGAGCCCCCAGACCCAATTCAAGGGGTCCTAAATCACCCCCAGACCCAATTTGGGAGGGGCTTTGTACTCTAAGAATGAATTTGGGTGTGATTGCAACCCCCAGACTCAATTTGGGGGGGATTTGGAGCCCCCAGACCCAATTCAGGGGGGGTTGAACACTCAGAATGAATTTTGGGAGGGTCTGAAAGCCCCCAGACCCAATTTGGGGAGGGGTTGGAACCCCCAGACTCATTTTGGGGGGGTTTGAACCACTCAGATTCATTTTGGGGGGACTTTGGAGCCCCCAGACTCAATTTGGGGGGTCCCAGACTCATTTTTGGGG